GGCTGTGCTTGTTGAGAAGACTGTGGCATCTCATCATGCACTTGCTCAGTACGAGCTGGAGAAGGTTGTGGCTTATCAGGCACATGCTCGCTAGGACGTGGGGAAGAATGTGGCATCTCAGGAATGTGGTGGTCATGAGACGGTGAAAATATCTCCCCGTCCTCAACAACTCGCTCCAAATTTGAGAGAGGGGGAGGCAGCGAAGAAGCAGTCAATATAATGTCTCATTTGTGCTAGAGGATGAACTGCCCCATTATATCTCCGAGTAAGACCAGCCCCTCAGGAGTTGCGTAGTCTATCCTCCACTGCATGAACTCAGGCTTTATGGTATGCACCTCGACCCTAGTGTAGTCCAGCGGTATCTTATTATTGTGGTGTAAGCCACCGGGAGGATGTGCCACACCCGTTGCCACCTCCATCATAATGTTCTGTCAGCCGCTGAGAAACACCAAGGTGCAACTAGTTAGTTCCCGTATGTGATCGACAAGGGTTGTGGCTGCAGTGGAACCTTGGTTGCTAGAAACTTTCGGAGGGCTGCCAACTAATGCCAGTTCTCCCGGTGGCATCATTAATGTGCGTGGCTCCATAGACAGTCCTTGCTCCTCTAGCGCCTTCGCAACTAGAGCCTTCACTTGGAGCTCAAGATTAGCCTCCCGGTCTATGTCATGTTTCTTGTACATGTGTCTGTCCTCTTCAAATCTGTGCTTCCAAGTCGTCCTTTTCCCTAGCCCCCTAGTTCGGCCTGTGTGCTCATTGTTTTCCAAGCCAAGGCTAAGCTCATCCCTCTCTCTAGAAGGATTGAATGAGCCCTTCTCCTTGTCTTCAGCATATTTCAGTATCCTTGATACTGCCTCTTAGGTCTCCGGCTTATCAAACTTAAGATTACCGCTGGATGATTCTGTACTCCTCGCATATATCCAATAACTTGAGCGTACCTTCAAATTCTTCACATCGATATTCCCAGCAGCTGCGGCCTTTTCGTCCATCTTCCTAAATTGCTCTTCCTTGGTATAGTAGCCACCAGGGCCTAGATAATGGTGGTGTTTGTTCCTCTTTGCCAACTCGATGTTACGGGCACTGGGCTTCAATGCCTCTGGTGAAGTCTTCTGAGCCACGAGCTCCTCCCATTGACTAGGAGTTATGTTGCCGAATTCATTGAAGGGAGTTAACCCCTTTTAGATATACTTCTTGTTGAGCTCCGACCTTCAATGTCGGAATGACTCTCCCATGATCTTTAAAGCATTTTTTTTACCAGTTCATGCTTACCCTCTGGAAATCTAAAATTGAGCTTCAGCTGCTTATCCTATAGTTCATCCTTTTTCTTCTCGGGTACCTCTTTTCCAGTTAGGAATTGCTGGGTTTGATTTATCTCTTACTAGGGCCCCGATAGCATTACGAAATCGTCCTCTGAATTTCTTTGGCTCAAGGATCTCCTCTGCTGGCCCGACCTCCATTATCACAAGCATGCCTTATCTGGATATTAATTTGCTTTCCTATCCCCTCATTTCCTCTTTGGCTTGGTAGTCGTATTTGTGGTTGTGTCTTAAGGTTGTGCAGCAGAGGACTCAATGTCCATCTCTGTGGTTGTTGTCTCTGCTCTCCTTTCCTCTACTCTGTCTTGTCCGACGAGATGTCGCGGACGTCGATGTCATCTTTTCTGAGTTTCAGGAGGGACCTATATATACGACAGGTCAAACTGTTAGCAGAGGTAACACAGCCAAAGCTTAAAGGACTACTTAGCAGAGGAACCTTAACGAACCATACATCCAAGAGTTCCTATACTCCATCTTTTACAACAACAACAAAACAAACATTAAAGGACTACTTATTCATATATATATATATATAAATGAATCAAAATAATAATTACTTGAGAATAATTGTATATACTTCCAATATATATGAATATAAATCAAATATAATTATATGAAGCATACAAACACACCATGGTAGAGAAAAATTAATTAATGGCCCATTTATCCATAAATAATTAAAATACATATTTGTTGATTACAAGAAACAATTTCAAAGACAACAATTAGCAACAATTATATTTTACCCAATATCTTTCATGCAAACCCTAGTCCAATTTCATCAAACATAAATTTACAAAAACAAAATTAATAAAAAAAACCATACCCTAGATCTAGATCTACATGCATATGAAACATCCATAAAACTAACTAATTGTTCACTAAAATCAAGAAATATGGACCAAATAAGGGTATGATCTTGTTCCCCTACCTAATTTACCCTAGTACATTCAAAACTTGGGTCTAATTTGCTTCATAAGTAGCTCAAGCACCATAGAAGAGAGAGAAAAGCAAAACTCTAATTACTCACTAACCAACCATTAAAACTTCAAAAAAAGTGTGGAATAGCATTTTCTTACCTTCTACAACCTCTCCACCAAAGGATTTGAGACCAAAACCTTTCTCCCTTAGTAGAGTAATTTTTGGGAGATGCCCAAGGCCTCCCCAACTTTTTTTCACGGGTTGGAGTGAGTGACCTGAGGAGGAAGAAGTGGCTGTAGTTTTTTATACGTGGGTCATTTGTAGGGGCGGCTGGTGATTGAGCCACCCCTACAAATCGCAGGTATTTATACGTGGGGCATTTGTAGGGGCGGCTCAATCACCAGCCGCCCCTACAAATAGCAACACCGGGGGCGGCTGGTGAGTGAGCCGCCCCTACAAATCAACCTATTTGTAGGGGCGGCTCGTATCACCAGCCACCTCTACTGTTCTATTTGTAGGGGCGGCTAGTCTCATGGGTCCCGAGCACGCCCACTGTAGGGGCGGCTCCATCACCAGCCACCCCTACCAAAAAAATTGTCCCGTTGCTACAAATGTTTTTGTAGTAGGGCTTCATGATAGCCCGGTTGGGGGACATTCCGGGGCACCAGCTTCTTACCAGAAGATGAAGCAACTATTTTATTGGCCTTCTGTTGACGGTCGTTAATGTCAATCATAAGCCATCATTTTGCCATACATATATTCATAATTTCCATCATCTATGTAGGCATAGTGCTTTAAACTAACAAGTTCGGTGCTCTCATATATTTTGCAGGATATTTATTTTTTCATCGAATAAAACTATCTCATATCCACACCATTGCAAAGAGCTCGTCGAGACAATCTAAACGGATATATTACTTGCTATATTTGGAGCCCAGAATAAAAAGATATTAATTTTGCAAATAAATAAGAAGTCCACGTCACCAACAGTGCCATGCAACCAATAACAGGCAGCCATGTGGCAGGCGTCGGCCGATTTGTTTGGTTGGGAACCCGTTTTTCTCGCTAAAAATGCAGACAACGCCCGGTTTCTTTGGTTTAGCTCTGGTTTGGGCATCTAGAGGCCGGTTTTCTTCAAAGGTCGGTTGGGAGGTTCCTTGGCGACGAAGTAAAGTCATCCACCGTCCGTACAAGGTCAGTTTGATCCAACGGTTGCTAATAAACGGAGACATGGATTGATGACGTGGTGTTTCCTTGCCCCCTACTCCATCTCGGCCTATATAAGGATGCCCAGACACCCTCCAGGAGGCACACATCTACATACCCTACGCTCCAGAGCTTCATAATTTCATACCCCTTGTAGTGGTGTCCCTCTAGATGATTTCCATCTAGTTGTAAAATAGAAAATAGGGAGAGAGAAGAGGAGAGAGCTAAGGGGGAGCCGGATGTGTCGGATCTTCCTCGAATTTGTACTTCTACATATTGGATTCATCCTTGAGTAATCTCTAGGTTCTTCAATTACTATTCCTAAGTTCTTTATTTACTTAACTTCAGTATTTACTTTAAGTTATTTATTGGATTCTCACTTACATCAAGTGCTCTAGTCTTTGCAAAACTAGAGTAGTAATCAATAGAATAGGCGTGTACCTGGAATTGCACCTAGCCCTACGGATAGTTGTGGTAGCCCCAGGTGGTGACAGCCCTGATGACTGATGTAGTCCACCATGTTCGGGTTGATGTTTGTAGGACCGTAGTCAGAATTTCCTAGCTCCTTTCTCATTTCAATCTGAAGCTAGTGTTCTGATGTCTCGAAGTAAATAAACCTTGAAGTAACCTTGATTCTTTGATCAACTAGAGAAACTTTAGGAAATTCCTCTAATGCCATTTTGGTGGTTGTGGACAAATACTCCAAGTACGCACACTTCGTGACTCTTTGCCATCCAGTCCAAGCGACCGGAGTGGCCAAGCTTTTCATGGACAATGTGTACAAACTTCATGGCCTGCCATCGGCAATCATCTCGGATCGTGACCGGATATTCACAAGTAAATTCTGGCAATCCCTGTTCAAATAAGTCAATCTTCCTCCGTTGTTTTGTCCACGCTGGCCCTACTCGGTGGATTCATTGGCTCTCTTTGGCGGAATACTGGTATAACACCAGCACTCACTCCGCGCTTGGGCGGTCTCCATTTGAAGTCCTATATGGCTTCCCTCCACGGCACCTAGGTGTGCCTTCGTCTGCCACCGCCTTGCCTGAGCTGTCTCGCTGGCTGAAAGAACGCGAGCTGATGCTGTAGTTGGTGCGCCTAAGGATGAAAACAGTCGAAAAACTCCTAAATTGTTTTCTACTTTTACATTTGAAATACGAAAACGAAAGCGAAAACGGTAAAGCCAGACACGAAAATGAACGCGAACTTACGAAATATCCCGAATTTCAAAAACGAACCAATTCGAGCGGATTTATGTCGAACACGGTCGATATACGAAAACTCAATACGGAATACCGACCCGTAGGACCAAGTGCATGACTAAGTGCATGCATGATCAAGTTCAAGTGCATATAATAATTAATAAGTGCATATTATAGAAACATGAACTCGAACTGAGTCAGAATAATTTTATTAATTTTTTTGGAATAGATGTAGTATTTTATTTTAAAGATTTATTCAAATTTTTCTTTTGAGTAACAAAGATTTATTTGGCTGAGGCAAAAACTATCAAATGATTGACTTTGCAGGTGGGGGTTAAACTGATGAGCCTGATGGGCTATGGCCCAGGTGGGCTTTCGTGTAGATGCTGCTGGCTTCCTGTCATTTAGAACCACCTCGTGAGGTGAAGGGAGATGAGGCTGGACGCCGTCTATAAGAGAGGGCAGCTGATCACCAGTAGAAAGAACGCAGCTGCGTGGTGAACAACCTGTAATTGGACTGTATGACCTATGCAGTTGGCCAAATTCGGTTTAAACCGAATTTTCAATTTGGAATATTTCAAATTAAAAATAGAAAAGTAGAAAACGGTCGAAAAATGTCTAAACCGTTTTCTACTTTTACATTTGAAATACGAAACATCTGAAATGTGAAAGCGAAAACGGTAAAGTCGGATAAGAAAATACGGATTCGATCAGATTAAATATAGAAAACGATGCGGTTCGGTTTGGGATATTTCTGTTCTGTTTTCATGCTTAGGTGCGCCAACATCTGCTCCGCGCACAAACACGCATGAAGCGTCAGGCGGATAAGCGCCGTTCAGAGCGCTCGTTTGCTGTGGGCGACATGGTCTTCGTCAAGCTTCAACCATATGTCCAGTCTTCGGTGGCTCACCGCGCCCACCAGAAACTAGCGTTCCGCTTCTTCGGCCCCTACCGCGTGCTGGCGCGGATTGGAGCCGTGGCCTACATGCTGGAATTACCTCCATCAGCCTCTGTGCATCCTGTTTTCCATGTTTCCCAGCTCAAAGCTTCAGCATGCGATCAGGTGGTGTCCTCTTCAGTTCCTACTTATCTGGTTGAGTTTCAGGTCCGTGCTCAAATCCTGCAGACTTGCTGGACTGCCGGTGCGCACCCAGTACAGCAGGTGCTCGTCCAATGGTCACAAATGCCGGCGTCGCTGGCAACCTGGGAGTCTTTGGAGGAGCTCCGTCGCCGGTTTCCCAGAGCTCCTGCCTGGGGACATGCAGGCTCTAAAGCGGGAGGGGATGTCAGCAGCCCTGCCCCCTCGCCGTCTGCTACAAGTGACGAAGCCTCTGCTGAAGCCGATGACCAAGAGCACTTGGCCCAGCTGGCTGAGACTCGGCCCAAAAGGAACAGAAGGCCCAACCCGGCGGTACTTGGCCCTGAGTGGCGTGTGTGAGTGATATATATGTATCGAGAGAGGAAGGGAAAGGTTATCAGAAAATTGTAAACTCTAAACTTTTATCAAGCACTCATCTGAGATTCTCCCCTGTGTTTTTCCTTCTCCCCCAAGTTGCTCCTCCCCCCACCTCTCTCCTATCAAGACTCTGCACTGGGATCAAGTCTCTTCGTCTGTGATTCATCGCATGAATGAAAACATTGTCTTCTAATGTTATGGATGTCTGTGATGAGCGCGAATTTGGCTGTAAGGCCTTTATGTTTGTGGTGGGCGTGCCGTTGCGCTTGAACCTAAATGTTTGAACGTTTTATGATCAATAAAGCGGAGAAGCCTTTTTGTCTAAAAATGAATGATATGGGTATCAATTATTTATAATTTTTCCCTCATCAAATGTGAGGACGATACCAAGAACCTTTGAAGTCTAACTTGTAGATTGTCGATGATTGAAACTTAAAAACCGAATTGTAAAAGCTAATAACGATCTATTTGAATTCCTAGGTCATAGAGTGGTTGGATGTCACAAGTTTGAAGAAGTCACGGTAGGATAGCCGCCTATAACAAGAAATCTCAACCTCTTATGTCAAGAAACCGGACCCTTTTCATATATTGTAAAAATTAGTCGGGCCAGATATTACGATATTTTCATCATAAGTTTCCACGCTCTGTGTGTACACTCAAACAAGACCTAACAACACTCATTGTTATCTACTGTATCTTTTTTTTTATCTTACTATGAACAAGAACCTAACAAAACGAGTCTATTATTGGACTTAAGACTAGTCTAAAGTCCTTACATTACATAAATATAAATACGTCAATTGCGTTTACATATAAAGACTTCGGCCTATAGCTTCTACGGAGTAGTTCAAACAAGTGGCAATTAATTATTGAGCCGTGTTCTTCGGCAATACTTTTTAGCGAACGAACAATGTTTTTCTCTCACAAGAAATCAGCATCAGCGGACGAACAGTATTTTTCTCTCACAAGAAATCAGCATCAGTAGCAGCACCAGCTAAATTTCAGCGAAACGAACATGGCCATACACAGTTCTATGCAGAGAAAAGATTGGGGAAAAACTCGTATGAGAGGTCTTAGTTTGGATAAACTCAATCTCTTATCATATATATATATCCATATCTATATCTTCTATACCTGATATTAAAGAGCAGAAATTCCTCTCCTATTTTCTTTTGTCGAATCTCCTAACTACCTAGGTAGTGGAGAGTCTCTTCTATTCATCTTTTTTTTACTTTCCAAATTGCACTTAGGCCCTCCGTGTCTTGTGTGTGACTCGACCTTATGACACAAACTACGAGTAAGAACAATTTGCATCTAGCGATGATATGGAGTCTGATCCCTATTTGTATTGGTTTCATTGCAATGCGAGCACAGCTTGCTTTTCCATATAGATTAGAATAGAAAATTAGCATTTTTATGGGTATTGCTCCCGTGAGGACGTCCAGATGAACGAACACGGCTTCCCACTTGCTACCACGTCGTCCGCTCGTTCTCGTCCGTGCCCTTAAAAAATCTTTGTACCTATACCCAGGGGGCGCTCGCAGGTGCGCTCGTGCTTGCCAGCAAGGTGGTGGTACTCGCCAGCTGCTAGCGCATTAGGTGGTGCTTGTGCTTGCTAGCTAGGGGGTGCTCGCCACCTGCTTGCCTGCTCATGCTCGACAGGCAGGAGGTGCTCGCCGACTGTCGACGAAATATGGTCGGCAGTCCACCGAGGGGGATGCCCACGGTGGTAGATTATCGGTAGGATGCGTGTGATCAGGAACCAGATGGTGACACAAGGCGCAGAGACAGCGATTTAGACAGGTTCGGGCCGTCTGATCGACGTAATACCCTACGTCCTGTGTCTTTGGTGTATTGTATTGAGATGTATGCTATCTGATCTCTCTGGATCTAGATGGATCTGTCCTCTAGAGGACCCTTGCCCCTCCTTATATACTCCGAAGGGACAAGATTACAAGTAAAGTATCCTATTTGGTACTATTACAATATCTTGCGGTGCACGCCAAGCAGCGCCGTGCACGCCTTGATCTCACGGGCCGGGCCACCTCGGATGGTGCGGCCCATGTACCATCTTGTGGTACCCGGGGGTCTATCCCCCACAGCTAGTCCCCGAGCGCCATGTATTCTGATGCGACACACCATTTTAACCTTCTCCAAACAGTGAGGCTTGAGTTCTTGAGATCTCCGACCACCGTTGTCGCTGGAGAACTAGGTTGTCCGAAGAATGTATGGTGCTCTTAAGAAGAAAGAAAAAGTTTTCCGTCCTGGGAAGTGTGCCCACTTGTATTTCTGAAAAGAAATGTAAGTGCGTCCTGAAACGTAGCGTCCTTGATCATCAGAGGCGTAGAGGTCGAAAAACAAACACATTCACCGCAAGGTGAAGTGTGCCCACTTAGTCCCCGAGCCTGGTAGTAGGTGACGTAGGCACGTGGTGCCAGGGTCTAAAAAGAATTCCCAGTTATGTTGAGAATCCAACCGTCGTACAGGCGATACAAGATGCACCGGCAGGTGCATCGTACCGATGTAGTCCCCGAGCTTGCGTATGCGAGGCGCCAGTCGCATGTAGTCGAGACGCAAAGTCCCCGAGCACAGGTCGAGGAGCGAGCGACGAAGTCCCCGAGCCGTGGTCGGAGAGTGGTCGAGGCAGTCACCGAGCACAGGTCGAGGAGCGAGCGACGAAGTCCCCGAGCCGTGGTCGGAGAGTGGTCGAGGCAGTCACCGAGCACAGGTCGAGGAGCGAGCGACGAAGTCCCCGAGCCGTGGTCGGAGAGTGGTCGAGGCGATCCCGAGAACGCAGTCGAGGAGCGAGCGACGAAGTCCCGAGCACGGAGTAGTCTGGTGAGTCCCGAGCATGAGCGTGGTCTCGCCAGAGTCCCCGAGAACGGCGTGGTCTCAGCAAGAGTCCCCGAGCACGAGCGTGGTCTCGCCGAGTCCTCGAGCACCGTAGTGGTCTTGGCGAATCTCAAGCATGAGCTCGTTGACCAACTGTGTTCTGAAAAATAAACACGGAGAGCGGTAGTACATGATGATGTATGAAATATATTGACCTCTCAGAGGGAGGTGAAGTAAACACTTGGTGTTCGGTTGGCGATGAATTATACTTGGTGTAATATTCAAAAATAACATTAGCTGTTTTTTAGCCCTTTTGTTATGTAGTGGCGTGGCGCGATGTATTAACTCGTCTCGAAGAATGCGCCACCCTAGGCTGACCAACATCTCGTGGCGCGAGGTACGGAATGCCGCCAGCGTGAGTGCCGATGTTACCAGGGAGCGACTGCCGACTACCCGTAGCGCAGAGGGCGGACTCTCATGCACGCGTGGGGTGGAGCCGGAGACAGTGCCGGCTCTGGGATTCTCAAGCAGGGAGGAAAACGTATCGGCGAACCATTGTAAAAACTTATACATGTTTTGGACTGTATGTATGGAGAAAATTCGACGCGGAGCGCACCCTAAGGGTGGTCGGCGGAGGTGTACGATGATCAAAGAAATTTTCAATTAAAAATAATACTTAGCTTTATTGACGACCGGTGGGTGTAGTCGGCGTGTTGCGATGTTCGAGAGATGGCTTGACGTGTCGTTGGCGATGAAGTTGTCCGGTCCTCGAGCTTTTCAACCTGTCGTCATGACTGTGGTCGCGATTGTCGTAGCGCCGTTCTTTGCGGCGATCATCATTGCGACGTAGTCTTGTGGTCGAGGTGGTCGGAGCTCGGCGGAGCTGCTCGGGACGTGGTCGACGCGGTCCGTGGTCGACGTGGTCGAAGCTCGGTGGAGCTGCTCGGGATGTGGTCGTGGTCGACGTGGTCGGAGCTCGACGGAGCTGCTCGGGACGTGGTCGACGTGGTCGCGGTCGACGTGGTCGGAGCTCGGCAACGTGCGGAGTCGTGGCGTAGCTTGACGAAGTCCAGAGCACGGGTTGAAGTTGTCGGCGTCGATCCCGTTGATGTCGAAGTCAAAAAGCGTCGAAGTAGAACTGTGTTCCTGGGGCGAAACGCATGGCCTCGACGTCCGCTGGTGGAGACTTGGATAAAGACGGCTTGCTTGTATGGTCCATGGTCTTCATATGCATGGTGCTGTAGATGCACGTACATGCAAGCGTTCGTGTATGAATAAACTCCTGATTGCTTGCATGCCGGATTGGGTCATGTCGTGAAGATGTCGGACTCTTGTCGTAGCAGAGGCAATCAGCGCGGAAGCCGAAGCCCCCGTCGTGTTTGAGTTGGAGTCGGACGTGGTTCGGATGACCTGTTCATGCGTGTATATACCCGTATACGCCTTGGCGTTGCTTGCTTGCGTCGGCTACATGGTGATGTTGTCGTACGTCCTTGCCTGCTTTGCCTGCTTTGCTTCGTGTTGATCTGATGCCGTAGTCCACGGGCGCGAGGTTGCCGAGCATCATCACGAGTGAGCAAGAGGCGTGGCCGAATATACAACGTATATGCACAAACATGAATACGTGTAGCTCCTCATTGCTTGCATGGTTGTAGTAGTCTAATGCCCTCTTGCATGTAGATCGTACATCCATCTTGCTTGCTGACGTCATCTTGGACGGTGCTGTAGATTGATTCTACGTTTACCTTTTTGATTGGTTGTTGAGCTTTCGATTGAATGAGATTAGGATTTCGACAGCGAAGTGCTCGGCGGTAGGACCCGACGCTGGACTGGGCTGCTGCTGTATGACGCAAAACCATGCCGCCGAAACAGGGCTGCCGCCATTGCTAAACTCCACGCACGAAAGCGTGAAGTTGCGTAATCAGGCACGAGTCCTGTTGCGCATAGCCACGAGTCGCTTCGTGACGCTGAGTCTGAGGTCGTCGGCGACGGAAGCAGATCGCGATGCACAATGTCGAGGGATGCCGGGTTGACGGCGAGAACGATGGACCGAGTTGTGGGCGAGGATCGCCGAGCGGAGCGGCAGCGGTGACGATGTTGTTGCGCATGACGTTAAACGCCGCCACCGAATCATTGTAGATGTTACTGATGTT